GCTACCCTTGAACCTTTGGTAACCATGAATCCAAAGTCTGCAATGGCAATAAGTACATATCTACTGATAATCACCCTAAATATAAATGGACTGAATGCACTAATACAAAGACACAGAGTAATACAATGGATAAAAAAGCAAGACCCATCTATATGCTGCTTACAAGAGACTCACCTCAAACCCAAAGACATACACAGACTAAAAGTGAAGGGATGGAAAAATATATTTCATGCAAGCAATAGGGAGAAAAAAACAGGTGTTGCAATACTTGTATCAGACAAAATAGACTTCAAAACAAAGAAAGTAAGAAGAGATAAAGAAGGACATTACATAATGACAAAGGGGTCAGTCCAACAAGAGGATATAACCATTATAATATCGGTGCACCCAACACAGGAGCATCAACATATATGAAACAAATACTACCAGAATTAAAGGAGGAAACAGAATGCAATGCATTCATTTTAGGAGACTTCAACATACCACTCATTCCAAAGGACAGATAAACCAGACAGAAAATAAATAAGGACACAGAGGCACTGAGCAACACACTAGGACAGATGGAACTAACAGACATCTACAGAACTCTACACCCAAAAGCAGCAGGATACACATGGAACATTTTCCAGAATAGATCTCATACCAGGCCACAAAAAGAGCCTCAGTAAATACAGAAATATTGAAATTCTACCAACTAACTTCTCAGATCACAAAGGTATAAAACTAGAAATAAATTGTACAAAGAAAGCAAAAAGGCTCACAAACACATGGAGGCTTAACAACATGCTCCTAAGTAATCAATGGATCAATGACCAAATTAAAACAGATCAAGCAATATATGGAAACAAATGACAACAACAGCACAATGCTCCAACTTCTGTGGGATGCAGTGAAGGCAGTTCTAAGAGGAAAGTACATAGCAATCCAGGCCTATTTACAGAAGGAAGAACAATTCCAAGTGAATAGTCTAAAGTCACAAATATTGAAATTGGAAAAAGAAGAACAAATGAGGCCCAAAGTCAGCAGAATGAGGGACATAATAAAGATAAGAGAAGAAATAAATAAAATTGAGAAGAATAAAACAATAGAAAACTCAGTGAAACCAAGAGCTGGTTCTTTGAGAAAATAAACAAAATAGATAAACCCCTAGCCAGACTTATTAAGAGAAAAAGATAATCTACACACATAAACAGAATCAGAAATGAGAAAGAAAAAATCATGATGGACCCCAAAGAAATACAAAGAATTATTAGAGAATTCTATGAAAATCTATATGCTAACAGGCTGGATAACCTAGAAGGAATGGACAACTTCCTAGAAAAATGCAACCTTACAAGACTGACCAAGGAAGAAACAGAAAATCTAAACACACCAATTACCAGCAATGAAATTGAATCGGTAATCAAAAAACTACCCAGAAACAAAATCCCCGGGCAAGATGGATTCACTGCTGAATTTTATCAGACATTTAAAGAAGACATAATACCCATTCTCCTTAAGGTTTTCCAAAAAATAGAAGAGGAGGGAACACTCCCAAACTCATTCTATGAAGCCAACATCACCCTAATACCAAAACCAGGCAAAGACCCCACCAAAAAAGAAAATTTCAGATCAATATCCCTGATGAACATAGATGCAAAAATACTCAACAAAATATTAGCAAACCAATTTCAAAAATACATCAAGAGGATCATACACCATGATCAAGTGGTATTCATCTCAGGGATGCAAGGATGGTACAACATTTGAAAATCCACCAACATTATCCACCACATCAACAAAAAGAAGGAAAAAACAACATGATCATCTCCAGAGATGCAGAAAAACATTCAGCAAAATTCAACATCCATTCATGATAAAAACTGTCAACAAACCCACAGGCAACATCATAGTTAACAGTGAGAAGCTGAAAGCTTTTCACCTAAGATTGGGAACAAGACAGGGATGCCCACTCTCTCCACTTTTATTCAACATAGTACTGATGGTCCTAGCCATAGCAATCAGACAATGCAAAGAAATGTAAGGCATCCATAATAGTAAGGAAGAAGTCAAACTGTCACTATTTGCAGATGACATGATATTGTACATAAAAAACCCTAAGGAATCCACTCCAAAACTACCAGAACTAGAATCTGAATTCAGCAAAGTTGCAGGACACAAAATTGATATACAGAAATCTGTTGCTTTCATATATACACTAACAATGAACTAGCAGAAAGAGAAATCAGGAAAACAATTCCATTCACAATTGTATCAAAAAGAATAAAATACCTAGGAATAAACCTAACCAAGGAAGTGAAAGACCTCTACCCTGAAAACTACAAGACACTCTTAAGAGAAATTAAAGATGACACTAACAAATGGAAACTCATCCCATACTCTAGGGTAGGAGAATTAATATTGTCAAAATGGCTATCCTGCCTAAAGCAATCTACAGATTTAATACAATCCCTACCAAAATACCAACAGCATTCTTCAATGAACTGGAGCAAATAGTTCTAAAATTCATATGGAACCACCAAGGACCCTGAAGAGCCAAAGCAATCCTGAGAAGGAAGAATAAAGCAGGGGGATCTTGCTTCCCAACTTCAAGCTCTACTACAAAGTCACAGTAATCAGGACAATTTGGTACTGGCACAAGAACAGACCCACAGAACAGTGGAATGAAATAGAGTCCAGATAGTAACCCAAACATACATGGTCAATTAATGTACAATAAAGGAGCCATGGATATACAATGGGGAAATGACAACCTCTTCAACAGCTGGTGTTGGCAAAACTGGATAGCTACATGTAAGAGAATGAAACTGCATCATTGTCTAACCCCATACACAAAAGTAAATTTGAAATGGATCAAAGACCTGAATATAAGTCATGAAACCATAAAACTCTTATAAAAAATCATTGGCAAAAATCTCTTGGACATAAACATGAGCAACTTCTTCATGAACATACCTCCCTGGGCAAGGGAAACTTGCAAAATGAACAAGTGGGATTATATCAATCTGTTCTATTGATATGATCAATAGAACAAGAAGGCATCCTACAGTATGGGAGAATATATTCATAAATGACATATCTGAGAATGGGTTGACATCCAAAATATTAAAGAGCTCACACACCTCAACTAACAAAAAACAAATAATCTAATTAAAAAATGGGCAGAGGATCTGAACAGACAGTTGTCCAAAGAAGAAATTCAGATGGTCAATAGGCACATGAAAAGATGCTCCACATTGCTAATCATCAGAGAAATGCAAATTAAAACCACAATAAGATATCACCTCACACCAGTTAGGATGGCCAACATCCAAAAGACAAAAAAACAACAAGTGTTGGTGAGGATGTGGAGAAGGGGAAACCCTCCTACACTGCTGGTGGGAATGTAAATTAGTTCAACCATGTGGAAAGCAGTATGGAGGTTCCTCAAAAACTCTAAGTAGAAATACCATTTAACCCAGGAATTCTTCTCCCAGGAATTTACCGTAAGAATGCAGGAGACCAATTTGAAAAAGACATATGCACCCCTGTGTTTATCACAGCACTATTTACAATAGCCAAGAAATGGAAACAACCCAAGTGTCCATCAGTAGATGAATGGATAAAGAAGATGTGGTACATATACACAATGGAATATTATTCAGCCATAAGAAGAAAACAAATCCTACCATTTGCAACAACATGGATGGAGCTATGGGGTATTATGCTCAGTGAAATAAGCCAGGCAGGGAAAGACAAGTATCAAATGATTTCACTCAGATGTGGAGTATAAGAACAAAGAAAATACTGAAGGAACAAAACAACAGCAGACTCACAGAACCCAAGAATGGACTAACAGTTACCAAAAGGAAAGGGACTGGGGAGGATGGGTGGGAAGGGAGGGATAAGGGGGAAAAGGGGCATTACGATTAGCCTACATAATGTAGTGGGGGGCACAGGGAAAGCTGTACAAGACAGAGAAGACAAGAAGTAAGAATAGCATCTTACTACACTGATGGATAGTGACTGTAATTGGGTATGTGGTGGGGTTTGATAATGGCAGTCTAGTAACCATGATGTTGCTCATGTAATTGTAGATTAGTAACACCAAAAAAAAAAAAAGAATTAGTAACATTGGTAGGGCTTTGTCATACATAAGGAGAGCAAATCTTTGTCTTTTGAGGGTTGAAGTTAATCTTTGAAAGCACTATTGCTCAGAGGGAAAGGCAGCAGTTGAAAGCTAGTGAGGGGTAGTTTTGGTCAAACTCTTTTGGTGGCCCTGAGCGGACCACAGGCTGTCCAGAGGAAGCCTTCATGCCGGCTTGAGCAGCAATAGCACATGATAATCTTGTGTGCTTGTTCCACATTCTGCATACACACACACACACACACACACTACATGCACACATGCACACACACACTGTTGCACACATGCATGCATACACATTGCACATACACATGCACACACAAACTCATGAACACACTGCATGCACACACACACCTCATGCACATCCACGCACACACTGTATGCACACATGACATGCACACACTGTATGTACACACATGCGCATCTACACTTGCACACACACATGCTCAAGCACTCCCCCCAAACTTAGAAAACACCCAGACTTCCCACTTCACAGAAGAATGCTATCCCTCTGGTCAGTGTACATGCTGATGTCAACAAAGCAGACCACAGGAAATTCTGCCCCAGTGGCCAAGGGCTCCCTTTATGCCCCTGGGTACTTGGGAAGTGTCTTTCAAGTGCCTTTTTAACCTCCCAGCCCCATTTTCTGTGTGTGGATCTGCCTCCTCAGCCTGCTTTGCTGCTTACATGTGAAGATCAGACATGCATTCAGAGATCTCCATTCCGTCTTCCTCTAGCAGACATTCACAAAGCTCCACATGCTAGTCTCTGGGCTCACCCTGGGTTTGGGGGATGGAGTGGGGGTTGCAAAGGTGGGGTTATGATTCTGACCAGATGGGAAGACTGAAAAGGAGGTCTGCTCTTTCTTCTCCAGGTGGTGGCTACCCTGGGGACCACAGCCTGCTGTTCATTTGACAATCTCTTGGAAGTGGGTCCTATCTGTAAGTATCCAATTAAATTTTCCTCTGAAAAATGTTCTCAATATACAGGGACTTTAGTACACCTTCCTCTTTTGGGCTCTCCTCCATCATAATATTCATAATATATTGCATTATTATGTATCATATTATGCATTATATATACAATATATATGAATGTTATATATAGAGAGAAGGCTCTCCTCCATAATTATTATATCATATAAATATCATAACATTGCATTATAATGCAATATATAATATAATATATATATTATATAATTAGTAAGATGTATATTAATAATATATATTAACCACGCATATAGTAATATAATAAAATATTAACATAATAAAATTATGATGATTTGTCAAACTCTTCTTGTATTTGCTCCAGAAACTCAGAATTTGGGCTAATTGAACAAAAGATGAGCTTAGCTGTTCCTACACATAATCATAAGAAATCACTGCTCCAAGCAGTGTAGAGCACAGATGCAAGATTGCCAGTCTATGTTGCTAAGGGTAAACCCTTGAAACTCTTAGAGCAAGTACACTCACAGGAGACGGACATGAGAACTAGCCATCCTGATTAACATCTTCTGGCGTGTCTGTTTTAGCCTTTCCAGAATGACTGAGTGTAGTTCAGCACCATACTTCAAGTGATTAAGGAAACCATACAAAAGCACTAAGCTTCTCCTGGGAAGGATGTAGGCTTCCCGAGCTTTCCTGGCAGCTTACATCCTCCTCCAGGGTTCTGGTGGAGAGGGAATTCAGGGATTGCCAAAGGTGAGCCCTGAACAACAGCTGTTTTTAAAGTTTCACCTCGAACCTGTGGCCTGGACACTCAGAGGGCTTGAGAGGGTTTCCGTAATGGGGACTTTCCTCGGGGATATGGGAGCTCGGTCATGGGCACCCTTCCTTGATCCTGGAGCCTGAAATCTCCCGCAGCTCCAGGTGAGCCATGGCCCCGTGGATGGTGCAGCAGGTCCTCTGCATGGTCTGGGCATTCCATGGAGGCTGTTCACACTCTCAGAGCACCCTCTCAGGGGCTGCCCTTCCCCCCCTGTGTAACCCCGCATCACAGCACCCACTCAGGTGCTGCTCCCTCCCCCGTGTGTAACTCTGCATCAGAGCACTCTCTCAGACGCTGCTCCATCACCTCCCCCCGTGTAACACCGCATCAGAGCACCCTCTCAGGCATTGCTCAATCCCCAGCTGTGTAACCCCGCATCACAGTACCCTCTCAGGCACTTCTTCCTCCCCGCCATGTAACCCCGCATCAGAGAACCCTCTCAGGTGCTGCTCCCTCCCCCTCATATAACCCCGCATCAGAGCACTGTCTCAGGCACTTCTTCCTCCCCCCATGTAACCCCGCATCAGAGCACCCTCTCAGGCACTGCTCCCTCCCCCCATGTAACCCCGCATCACAGCACCCTCTCAGGTGCTGCTCCCTCCCCCCCGTGAAACCCCGCATCAGAGCGCCCTCTCAGGCACTGCTCCCTCCCCCCATGTAACCCCGCATCAGAGCACCCTCTCAGGCGCTGCTCCCTCCCCCTGTGTAACCCCGCATCAGAGCACCCTCTCAGACGCTGCTCCCTCCCCCCGTGTAACCCCGCATCAGAGCACCCTCTCAGGCACTGCTCCCTCCCCACCTGTGTAACCCTGCATCAGAGCACCCACTCAGGTGCTGCTCCCTCCCCCCCGTGTAATCCCGCATCAGAGCACCCTCTCAGGCGCTGCTCCCTCCCCCCGTGTAACCGCGCATCATAGCACCCTCTCAGGCGCTGCTCCCTCCCCAGCTGTGTAACCCTGCATTGGGCAGCCTTGGCACAGAGTGCCCGGTGCATCCCAGCTCACTACTTAAAGCTGTCTGCTTCAGTTCAGAGCTTTGCTTCCTTGTCCGTAACGTCTTTAGCATGGAGAGGCAAACACCACTTGGAATGGTGAAATGGTAATAGTCCCCTCTCAGGATTCTTTAGAGGATGAATTAACGCGCAGAAATCATGGGAGACAAAAGGGAGAGAGTGTGTGCTGTGAGGCAGGTGGTGCCAGGGGCTGTCGGTGTAGACTTGCCCAGGCATACACAGGGTTTCTCTCCACCACGCACGGCCTGTGGCAGGTATCTAGACAGCTGCTGAAGGCAGTCATGTGTGGTGCAGGGATGGGGAAAAGGGACAGAAGGGGCTGGCTCTGGACTGTGGCCACTGCACTGGCCTCCTGGCTACAAGCCCTTGTCAGCTGGGCCAAGCCACTTGGAGCACCCTCTGACCCAGCTGCCAGGCAGAGAACTTGATGTCCTGGACGTGGCTGGCTGATGTAATTTCTGAGACTATTGGATTTAGAAGTTTAAGATCTTTGGCAGGGCAGAGCCTGTGTAGTCCTGCAGTCCCATGAGCCCCAGGGCTGGCCACCCCCTGGATGAAGGGGGTGACAGCCAGCAGAAGGCTCCTGGCATTCTCCGCCAGGCAGGGGTCCCAGCTCAGGCTGTCCCAGAGCCCCCTCCCCTCCCCAGGTGCTGGGCCCTGAGGAAAGAGCAAGATTTGTGACCTGTTTGGTACCAAACCCAGAGGCTCTTCTGGGGCCGACCGAGGGAGCGGAGGTGGATGGGTGCCAAGACCCTTCCATCGCTGCGGGAGTTCACATGGGAGGCCGGTTCTGATGGTTATACTCCCTATGGACGATGATATCACCATCAGCAGTGCCTTCCCAGTTAGGTACTGTTTTACTACTTTTCCTCCTCTGACACCATTGACTTGACTATGACCAACTTAGCATTCTTCAACTTCAAACAGGACTGCTCTGAGCCCCTAAGCTGACTTGTTCTGTAGTATGGTTAGAATAAACCATTAGAATAATTCAGGTAAGTTATTACTCCACCATTATTTGATGAAGAGGACACATCAGAAGATGGTTTTCTCCAAAATGCTGCTTTCAGAAAGACATTTTCTTTTTGGTTCCTTTTAAAATGATCACCAGTGAGGCTGTTTCAATTGGTCCACTTGGACTGATCAATTGAATTTCCAGGCAGGTTTAATGAGATGAGGATGAGATAATAGGCAGGAAGTGTGAAAGTGGGAAGCAGGGGTCAAGCTCCCAGGGGGTGTGGAAATTGGTACAGGGCAGGAGGAGCAGCAAAACCTTCGTCCAGGGACTCAGGATAGCTGGGAGGTGACGCAGCCGACGGTGCAGGGGGGCCAGGCTGCTACCGTCCACCAAAGCCTCACAGGGAAATGTGCCTCAGGCAGGGGGCAGGAGCTGTGTAGGCTGCCCCTTCCCTCTGGGATGCATCTGAAAGCCTCTGGATGGGGTGGCCTTGCCTGGGTGCTGGGTAGACTTTGCCCTGGGACATGCAACACCTGTGCTCTGGCCTTGGGGTCTCGGTGACCACCTGCCTCCTAGAACACCGGCAATATTTGGAGGGACCAGAAGGCAGGTTGTGCTGCCAGCTAATCACACTAAAGTCGTGAGATGCAGGGGTGGTGCCCCTGGCTCTTTACCTCTTGTGGAAAGGAGAAAAGAGAGCTGACCACGGGTGTCTGTAACTGCCTTCTGCAGGAGTTTTAGGCCAACTAAACAGAGGAAACCAGTCCTCAAAGACCACCCTGGCTGCTGACATCAATTCCAAGTTCAGGAGTTCCAGAACCAAAACCACCCTCAGCCCCGTTAATCCACCAGCAGGGCTCACAAGTCCTGCTTAATTACAGGAGGAAATGTGTGGGGCAGTGTGGGAGGGGTCCCAACTCCGAGACTCTGGGTGTTCCCTTCCTGAGGCCATGGATGGCAAGCATAGCAGCCATGGTATGCAACAGCATGCACGCAGGGCGATACCTCCCTAGCAGGTAAGCTCCAAGCTGTTGGTGCCAGAGCTTTACTGGGCTCAGTCACATACTGCCCGTGTGGCTGGGCTTCCTTCTCCAGCCCCTTCTGGGCATCCTGTTGATACCTTTAGTCTCCAGTTCCTCCAGAAGCCGGAACTCACAGGGCATGGCCCAGAGCCCCTGACATGAATCATACTGTTACAGTCTGGGGCCAGAGCTCTAGGCAGGAAAGACCCCTAGCGGCAGGTGCTCCAGGCTGGAGGTCACCTTCCCAGAGCTGAGGGTGAAGGCTGTTCCTTCCTGGAGTGGGGCTGCATGCTCCCGGCACACCCTCCCCTTGTGTGTCCCCTTCTCTTCCCTCCCCGGGCCTTCGTCTGCCTTCTGCTGCCCCCTCTCCGGGTCTCAGATGCATTCTGGGGCAACAGAGCCTTGGGGTTGGCATCGTCCTGGCCCCCTCCTGGGGGTTCAGGCCAGACCTTCTCTCCCCTGTCTGTCCTGGAGGAGGCCTGGCTCAAGTTGGTGGGTCATGGATTTTACTGTCTGACCCCATGTTCCCACTCAGGAGGGTGATGGCTGAGGTGGGAGGATGTGGGGGCTGTGGAAGAAAGAGCACTGCGGGGTTTCTGGATTCTGCCCGCCCCTCCAGCCCTCAAAGCTAGCATCTTTCCTGACACATCTGCCTGGTCAGGTCCTGTTCCACCCCACCCTTCACGCCACTGTTCTGAACCAAACACACACTGGTGTCTCAAACTCAGCATAGTGCCTCTGATGGAAGGAGCCCAGACAGCCCATGGGGTCACAGGCTGGCTTGGAGATTTTGTGCCTGGCCCCTAAGGGCATCTGAGGTTTCCACCTGCCCCATGGCACCCCTGAGCTGTACCAACATGTAGCACAGTGCTGGAGCAATAATGGCTGTCCTGTCGTTTCTAAGAAGTCCCCGATCATCCTGAGGCTTTGTGCTCACCGCCCATCCACTTAGGGCTCTGTGGGTGCCCAGTGAGGCCAGTCCAGCTGAGGTGGTGAGCCCAGACACCCTTGGCCCACATGCGTGCCGTGGTCGCTCTGGCCTAATGGTACCCTGATCCTCTGCATCCATGGCATACATCCTTGGAGAGCAAATCTTTGTCTTTTGAGGGTTGAAGTTAATCTTTGAAAGCACTATTGCTCAGAGGGAAAGGCAGCAGTTGAAAGCTAGTGAGGGGTAGTTTT